TTTTTGTAAAGTATCAATCCTAATCCTAATGCTTGAGATAATTGTATCTTGTTACGCAATCCGGCTGGAGTATCACTGATGGATATTTAACTTTGCCCGCGTTACTTTCTTCTATTCATTTAACATTCCTTCCGTGACGAAACAACAGTGCGTTCTCTTTTCTCACCATTCTCTTTTACACTCGCGGCATGGTGAATCATCAATCCCTTTTATTATTTTGCTTCTTTAAAATCTTGCAATCCTTCATAAGAATATGAAAAATTGCGTTTGATTCATTGTAGTAATTTTTTTTTTTTAAGGAAAACATCACTGCACCATCTTCATATTTACGTTCTTTTTATCATAGGCTCCCTTCCGTAGAAAATACTTGTGTGAACGAATCCAATTTAGTCATGCTTTATTCGTCTATTAATACAGTTCAGAAATGAGGATTTATTTTCTCAATGCAATTACGCATGGATTACTATTCCTTTTTTCAAGTGCGAGTTCGTCACACACAATGCCTCTTATTTAACTGATCCCTAATTAGCTGGATGGGCGTGCAAATATACTGCTGCGCCAAGTCAGTGACGCAAAAGCCGATTATTGGCTGCACTTGTTAATCCATATTCATCAGAATATGTAAAATTTGCAGCACACCACGATGTCCGTCGGAGAGTGAAGACGTGCCTTCCGTAGTGCTGAAGATAAAGTTGCACTCTGGAAGGAAGAAGGCGCTCGACCAAGAGAAAAGAGCAACGAAATCCAATCTTCTGCTAGTAAAAGCGAAGGTGAGCATTTCCTTGGTATATTATTGTCTTAAACTTCTTCAAAAAAGAAAAACAAGCCCTATCCTCTCAGATGAACGTGTTAACACATGTCGGTTGCTTGATCTGAGCGGCAATTCAAGTTAGAGTCGAATGAATTAGGATGTTGGCTTCGAGAAAAGCAGAAATATGTTTTAACAATAAAATTTATTTTGGGACTTCATTCGACCTGTGGTTGAATAGAACCACGCGTAATTGTGGCGACTCGTCCACAAAATAATTTGGTGACCTTTGATCCATTGTTAAATAAATTCCGAAACGTTTTGGTGCTTTTCTTTTCCACCAATTGTTTTAAAGTGCAAAGAGATTTTGTACATTTTAAAATCAGAAAGTATTATTACCTGATCACATTCATAATTTGTATTTTCAGCAGAAGCAAAGATGCCAGAAGAATGGAAGGATAACGATTGTGGTCAAGAGAAGACATTGGAATCACTAAATGTTTGGTGGATACTGCAAAGATAAGAACTTTAAAATTATTCACGGTGTAACAGTAGCAAAAATGGTGGCTCTAGAT